TGAAACGTTCAGAACCAGCAGGACACCTGTTTTCAGTACTTCAGTATCAAATCCCTCGTGGAGAACACAAACAACCTGCACTTTTTTGACATCCTGCCAGTCAGCTCTTTGTTGAGACGTTTATTCAAAACACAATTAACATTTTTTAAAGTTGAAAAACAAAATGTTCACTTTGTGTTTTCAGTTCAGAGTTTAGCGTGTGTGGTAGCGTGGTGCTCTGTTGTTTGTGAGTCTGTTAAAGATGGAAAGATCGGGCTGTAAATTTGACGTTGTGTTTCGGTGTTTTGTTACCTCAGACACGATGATGTCCATCTGTCTTCTGAGCTTCCTCAGAGTGTTCATCAGCTGTTCAGGATCTTTGTGGATTCCACCCAGCAGCCGTTCACAAAGATCTTAGTGGCACTAAAAAAAACACAAATTAATGTTAGGTCAGAGTTTGTGGAGTGAGTTTAACTTGATTAATGAAATATGATAAAATTTTACACTGTTGTTGTGTTGTTAACATTGCAGTTTCATTTATATTCTATCATGTAGCAATATGCAGAGATGGAAACATAAAAGAAGTCTGCCACATGTTTCATCAGCGTCACACATTCATTCACCCGGAGCGAAGAGGACCAGACTGAATACTAACTTAATCGTTTGAAGGAGAAATAAAAAGTAGACTGACACAAAACCAGTTGAATTTTCTTAAAGTTCTTTGTGCCATGAGGTGTCATTGATTCTGATTGGTGCTGCTTAATTTAGTGAATTCTATTATAATTGAAAGAGAAGTGGGTTGTGATTATTTGTAATAAAAGCTGCTTGAGAGGGTCAGTGTTCAGATTCATTCCTTAAATTAATTTATTAATTGTATTATTGAATAAATATTAATAATATAAATATTAGTCCAAGCGGTAGGGTGGTGTCCTATCAGCTTTCATTCTGACAGAAGTGATGCTGCCCCCTGCAGGCCAGTTTGAGACATTACAAATGAATAACAAGCTTAAAAGTATAAGAAAAAAAAAACCGTGTTATTTTCATTACACAATTTCTGAAAAACTCAAACTTTAAATTAAATTGTAGAGATTATTCTAAATTGGTTTAATACTAAAATGAACTGTTGATGTAAAATTGTAAGTAACTGGAAGTGTTTTGTTTGTAAAACATATGAAGAGAAACTACAGCATGTTTTTTGATGTTACTATTTGAAGTGAAAGATAAAATAATAAATGAGAGACGGACTCTGCGATGGCGGCGGGTGAGATCTCCTCCAGGTTCTCCATACTCCACTCCTCCAGAAACTCCAGGATGGGAGACGGCTGAGAGCCCACAGAGATGTACGCCATGAGGGCCAAGTTCTTCACCAGACCGACAGCGTGACCTGAAACACAGCAAAGTGTTAACGCTGGGATCAGCACACATGTGTTTCTCTCTAAGGCTCTGTGTTTTACATTTTCTGCCTCTCTGTGATTTTCTTGCATACATCCATGAGGTCCTCTGTGTATTAAATGTTGCCGGTTTATCTTGTATTTTTTTGTGCTGTTGGTTTTTTATTTACCTCGGGCGTCTCGGCCGGACACACCATCCCCCACAACGTGTTGTGTAACTGTCTGGGTTTCGCCAATTTTCCGTCTCTTCCGATGGGAGAGTTCACTCGACGAAGGTGAGACAGAGTGGAGGCAAAGGTCAGTCGGTTTAACACCTGGAAGCAGACGGATAAAGATGCGGTGAAGTTTTCCCATCATGAAAGCTAAAAACACATGCAGCTGTTGTTTTCACATGGGACAGATGTTCCTACCTGTGACACCCCTGCTCTGGCCTGGTGAGCCTTCTTGACGTCGCCCCAGTTCCCCGTGGCGAGCGAGTACTTGAGTCCGTCAGAGATGATTCTGGTTTTGATGGCGAGCTCCAGGTTGAAGTCTTTCCCCCGATCGATGAACTTCTGAGCGTAGATCCTGATCTCCTTCAGCAGGTTTTTAAACATCCTGAACACAGAAAGAATGAAACGTTATTGTTTATATTTACACAAAACAACATTTATTTATATTCACATTATTGATAAAAAAGTGATTGTTTCTATTAACCATACTTTATTGAGGTTGGTTGGATTCTTCACTATGCCCTCACAGGCCAATTTAGTTTAGGCGCCGGTAGCTTAGTGGTTTGTGTGTATGCCCAATGTTCTGAGGCTAAAGTCCTCCAAGCAGGGAGCCCCAGGTTCGAATCCGACCTGGGGCTCCTTTCCCACATGTCATTCCCCGCTCCGTCCCTGATTTCCGACTATCCTATCTCTACAATAAAGACATAAAAATCAAAAACGAATTGAGCTTCAACTAGACCTCGACTAATGAAAAAAAACATGAAGTCACTGTGTGTTCACTACTCAGGACGTTATAGCTTCTCACTGAATCTGTGAGGTTTGAAGTTTTTGTTTCTCCCTTGCGTTCGTATTTCAGACGTCCGAGTTGTGTTCTGTTGCCGATGATGAACACGCCCTATTTCATCACATGGCTGTTTCATAATAAAATCATTTCAACCACATTATTACCGTGGATCTTTTTTGTGACGGACTTGGCAAGAAAATAAAATGTGTTCATTATCTAATTACTTTCTGTGTACAGGTTGTGACAGGTGTGTGAGGATGTGAGAGTTAAAGACCCCTACCCTCTGAACAGGAAGGCCAATAACGGCCCTGCAAGGTCCAGCCTCTTGTTGCCGTAGTGATCTCTGTCGTCCAACTCCCGTCTGCCGAGAGCCGCAAGCAGCAACCTGTGCACCATGTACCTGTACACACACACACACACACACGTAAACATCATGTACTTATACACACGCACACACAAACAAAAACTCACAAGTACACATTCATATACAACAGGTATTAACTTAAGGGTACTTCAGGTTTAAACTTTACTGTAGGGGTATCTCAGGTAGACTCACCCGAGGAAGTAGGCCTTCTTGGTCTCACAGAAGTCGCTGACTCCGACGTGTGGCAGCATCTCTTTCTGCAGAACTTCTTTGGCGTATTTGATTCGGCGCTCCTTCGTCACGCCCGGTTTTGCTCCTCTCGAGCCGATGAAGTTCAGCGCCACGTTCTGCTCCTGGATCACGAACGCTTCATCCAGAGACGGCTTCACCTAGTGACATAGAGGGCGCGGAGAACGCTGCTCGTATGACTTCGACAAAACTCACAGGACACTGGGACACAATCAAGAACCAATAATCACCATCTCCATCATCTCGGGGTCGTCAAAGTCGTAGATGATGTGTTCCAGGATGTCTCTGTCGGACACGAAGCCCAGCGCCCTGAACACGATGATTATGGGAACTTCCTGTCTGATGTACGGCAGCGTGGACACGATCCTCTGACCGATCGCACTCTTCTTCACACCCTGTGGAGACGATCATTACATCATCAATAAAGTCCTTGAACACTTCTAAATTCACGATGGGTCGGTACAAAGAAGGAAAGTAGTTGTTTTAAATATTATTATCGAATTAAGTCAATCAACTCCTGATTTCCTAAAATGTTCTTCTGAACTGCATGTGTGTGTGAGTGTGTGTGTCTGTGTGTGTGTGAGTGTGTGAGTGTGTGTGTGTGTGTACGCGTTCTACCTCTTCTTCTACACTCTTAAAGGGGACACGAGGGAGCAGGTTAAGGTGGAGTTATAGTGAAGTAAAAGTGGAATTCAGCACCCCAGAGACTCAGAGGGTGCTGTTGGTGCAGTGGTTAGTGCGGGCGCCCCATGTGTGGAGGCTATAGTCCTACAAGCGGGCGGCCCAGGTTTGAATTCCACCTGTGGCTCCGTTCCTGCATGTCATTCCCTCCTCTCTCTACCTGACTCTATCCACTGTCCTATCTCTCCATATAAAAGGCACAAAAAGCCCAAAAATACATTTAAAAAAAAAAAAAGAAGCTGAGACTCAATCTGATTTGATCTCAGGTTATGCATTTTGTTAGAATCCAAAACATTGAACCTCTAACACGTTAATTTTATGAAAAACATGACCTGAAGCTGGATATCATGTTGTTTATTATTTTCTATCCTGGTGGACTCACCTGTCCTCCTCGGGCCATCATGCTGACCCAGATGGTACTGGTGGGACGGGATGAGTTCTCCAAACATGAGCGACACTCGCCCGTGTAGGCATACTTTGAGTCCTTCTTGGCGAACACGTACACTGTGTTGGTGGCCATCTTCTCCTGAGCGATCAGCACCTGAAAACCAACAGAAAACCAGTTTAACCAAGAAAACACCAGGTACTAAAGTTCTTTGTATCTTGTTAAAGACACAGTCGATGTTAGCTAGCTCTCAGATATCTTAACTTCACATTTAAACTCTCTTTGATGTCACACACAGATGTAGAAATTTACCTTTTCGGAGCCATTGATGATAAAATAACCTCCGGGGTCGAGCGGACACTCGTTGAGTTCACACAGGTCACGGTCTGTCAACCCGCTCAGCAGACAGTAGGTGGAGCGAAGCATGATGGGAATTTTACCGATGAAGGTTTTCTGGTGCTGCGTCTGCAGCTGGTCCTCGCCCTCCTTTATGATCGTCTTTGTGATGTCAACATACAAGGGGGCTGAGTACCTGAGGGCCAGGTGAGAACAGGTGTAAAGAACAAACAGTGAGGCCCTTTGAGTGGACAGACCAGGTGAGGCAGACCAGGTAAGACCTACGTTAGGTTTCGTAGTCGGGCCTCGTTGGGCATCATGGGGGATGGGGCTCCGTCTCTCTCCCAGTGGGTGGGCTTGGACAGGTAGATCTGCTCAAACTTTAGCAGGTAACGAGGCTGAAACACAGGTCACAATGATGTCACAGTGATGTCATCATTTTAAACTCTACACCTCCCACACAGCCTCAGGTATTTAGATCCAGCCCAGGACCCAGGCCAGATGAGGTTCCTCACCGGTTCCTCCACCTCTCCTGAGGTGTGCTGAGCTTCAGCCTGCAGGTCGATGGGCGGAGCATCCTCCACGATCCTCTGAACCGACATCTGAATGAACTCATCGAACGAGTCCAGCTGCTGCCGCACCAGACCCTTCTCGTCAAAATAAGAGCTTTGAGAGAGGAAGACATAAATATATAATTAAACTGCTCTGTTATTGTTGTTTATTTTAATACTCGTCTCGTCCACATTCAATCACGCACATCCCCCCATTCTCTCTCTCTCCGCAATGAGTGTATGCGTCTGATGACATTTTATTCATAAAATATTCGGCACCCTGACATCTTTGTATTCAGTAAAATGATGATCTCACTTTAACACATCATTGGTTTACTGTGTGATAGAAAAGCTCTGATCTCTATCAAATCTATTAAAGATCAAAAGGTAATGCTTGATGATTAAAGGTTATTATGATGACTCTCTGAAGTCCACTGAAGCAGTTGGTCCATGATCCAGGTGAGTTTACCTGATGACGATCCAGCACGCTTCCTGCCACAGATCTGGAGTGATTTCATCCTCATCTTCATCATATTGATTATCTGACAATGAGAAAAAAATAAAAATGAGTGTTGTTATAACTGACCATTACTGATGTCTTCACAGATCAATGTCTGATAATTCAATTGTCAACATTTATTTCACTCTTTTCCCCGACTGTATTTATTTATGAATTAATATTATTTTTGCTTTCCTTTGTTGTTTTAAAATGTTTTCAACTCAAGATTTTTTTTCAAAATTGGATTAAAATTAAGTTCAGACAAACACAAAGTGAAACCATCAGAGATCCGTTCCTGAAACATCTGTTATTATATATCTAAATTCAATGTATAATATTAAATACAGGACTGAAACACCTAAATGTAACATAACTTTATTATTATCCTGCAGGAAATTAGATGTGCAGGAGGCAACAAGTCACAACAGACAAATAAAGGTAGAAAATCAGAAACACAGAACACAGATATCAAACCTATGAGTCAGTGTTGATACATAAATATATAATATAACATATAATACTGAAACACTCGTGAGTCAGTGTTTACACATACAGTACAATATTCATTTTAATCCAATTTTGAAAAGTTGAAAACATTTTAAAACAACCAAGGAAAGCAAAAATAATATAAATGAATTAATAAATACAGTCGGGGAAAAGAGTGAACAATTGAATTATCAGACAATGTGAGATACTGTATATAATATATAATATATAATATATATAACACGTGTGAGTCGGTGTTGAAACATATAAATGACTGTATCAGTCGTTTTAAATTGCAGTATAAAGTTTACTTAAAGATTACAGAATTCTTTTAAAGTCAGTATCAGAGTTTAACGAGCAGCTGGTTGAGATTGTTCTACTTTATGTTTTTATCTTTTAATAAACAAACAAATCACCACGAAATGATCAACATCAGCTTCTGTTTGAACATCTGTCAGAGGAGGTTGGTGTTTTCTGATGAAGGTAACATTACCTGTGATTTAAAGTTAATATGTTTGTTTACGTTAAACTAACAGTTTGATGAGTTAGCATTAGAGATCAGGTTAGCTTCGTGTTAGCATCTTGTAATTAAACTGTTTTCGGTCTTTGTGTTGTTGTTGTTTTTTTATATATATATATATCCACATGTGTGGTGATAAAAGTCCTGCAGATGAAACAGACAGCAGCTCACCTTCGTCTTGGTCGTACATAATTCTGTAATAATTATTAAAAATCAAACAAAGTGTAAACTCCGACACAACGTTACGCTCAGCAGCGCGCCCCGGAACCACACATGCGTCACTTCCGCTCCGTAATGCCTAAGAGATGACGCGCTGCTGCCCTCCTCTGGTTGGACCCCAACACTTCACACATACATAGAATAGAATAGAATATAAAAGAATAGACTAGACTAGAATAGAATAGAATAGAATAGAATAGAATATAATAGAATAACATACAATAGAATAGACTAGAAAAGAATAGACTAGACTAGAATAGATGTTTATTGCCATTTGCACAGGTACAGGACAGTACAGGTACATTGGAATTCTTGTGCGTTTCTCCCTGAGTCAGCTTCTGCAAAAAAAGTTAAAATTATATATGAAATAGAATATCATTATAAGAAAAAAAAGAGGAGAAAAGTAAAAAAAAAGTAAAAGTAAAAATAAATAAGTTGTAGTAACAGCTAAGTGATTTAAAATAAACTGTACAGAAGTTATGCACTGTATTAAAGCAAAGACATAATACAAAAAATAACAAAGGGGAACACTGTACAATGAAATGAAAATATAAATATGTTTTCTTGTCTCTAGCTTTCTACATCTCTTATTGCACCTGAGGTTATTGCACACATATTTTTCACATGATATAATTGCACTGTTTTTTGTTTTTAAGGTTAATACATATACAGATGCAGACCATAGACTGTGCAGACAGATTCTTCTATTATGTGTAGCCTGTTATAATTTTAGGTACAGACCAGTTGAATGAAGGAGTTTTATGACCACTCTGTCAATAGTCAGGATGTGCATTTCAGAATAAAATATATTTTTAAAAGAGAAGGAAGAAAAACTATTATTACTAAGGGAATATTTTCAGATTTTTGGCCAATCTGGGAATACATTTTGTTATCAAGAAATGTCTTAACCAATGCCTGTGTTTGTAAAGGTGTCTAATAACACATAAATATATTCCCTCAATTCTTTTTAATCCCTTCTTAAAACGTTTACAGATTTGCTTTTATGTGACGTCGTCTTCTTAATGTCTTTTCTGACTGGTTTTACTATTTTTTTATCTTCTTTTACTTCTTACTGTCCTTTTATTTATGCTCTTATCTTAACTCCTCTTATGTTTCAACTTGGTAATTTTTTATCTTACTTACTTTGTCTATTTATGTTTTATATTTATATATACTTTTTATTTTTATTAATATTATAGTTTTTGTTTTTGATAATTTAACCACTGGTTTCAATTTCTTTTTCTGCTCTTACCTTCTTATTGCTGTTATCTTTTTATTTACTTTTAGCTCTTTCAGTTTCTTACATCTTTTTAAATCTTTGCTCCTCTTGGTCTCAGCTCGTCTTGTTGGGTTCTTGTGTTCCCTGGGTTCTTTTGATGGTTCTTGTGATGGTTCTTGTGATGGTCGGGTTCTATATGTCTGTTGGGTATCGTGCACTATCCGTTCTTTTCTGTTTAATTGTATTTAATTATTTTTAGTATTTTGCATTTGTTTGTTCTTGCTGTTGTTTATGTTTTTGCTGTTTGTCAAAGCACAGTAAACCTGTGTTTTTAAAAGGTGCTATATAAATAAAGTTATTATTGTTATTATTATTATTATTATTGTTATTATTATTGTTATTATTGTTATTGTTATTGTTATTATTATTATTATTGTTATTATTATTATTATTATATTTTTAAATAAAACTCCCAAAGGAATATCTGTGACCGCTGCTGAAAGTTGGTTACCTGCAAGCTTATTGGTGAAATATGAAAATGTTGACCTCTGCCTTTAATAACTTTAATAAGGGCCATGCCAACTTTTCCTTCTCATTACACATTTTCTTCTGTGTGAAAATTAATATTACCAGGTGCATGTACATTTTAATGTATTTTTCTACTTATTGTTTGCTGTTATCGGTTGTAGTTGGTTGGCTTTGGCAGTTAGTGAGTCTGGAGTGGCAGGCGGCAGACATCTTCAAACCATTGTGTGGATCATGGACAGACACAATACTCCACACTCAGGCTATCAAATAACAATGTTCACCACTCAAAAAGATACTGCAAGATTAATTAACATCTAATATTTAAGTTGTATCTACATTTTAGTTTACAACTTATACTATTTAATGTCACTACATTGATATTTTACATATAATGTTAGAAGTCTGCCATCATCAAACTAATTTACTTTCTAGATAGCTAGCTAACACAAGGTAACCTGGTTAGGTTGTGTACAACTCACCTCAAATGCATCTGAGGGTCACTTCCTTCAATGCTTGCTGACTGTCTCAAGCTAATGTTAAAGTGGCTTGTCTTGGTTTCTCTTGGGCTTTTTGCAGAGATGCAAGCTCAGAAACTCGCAAAGGCAACTTCAAAAGGCTACCCTACTCTGTTTGCATATACAGAAGTAATTAAAAATGTTACAATTATGGAGCTCATGTAGGAGGCACAGCATATCAAAAAAAGGAGATAATACATTTTTTGTACAAAACGACTGTCCAGGTCACCATAAAGTCATCTCATTCAGCAGAGGCTAGGGAAGAGAACCAGCCCGCTGCCGCATATGAACACTTAGATAGATAGATAGATAGATAGATAGATAGATAGATAGATAGATAAATAGATAGATAGATAGATAGATAGATAGATAGATAAATAGATAGATAGATAGATAGATAAATAGATAGATAGATAGATAAATAGATAAATAGATAGATAGATAAATAGATAAATAGATAGATAGATAGATAGATAGATAAATAGATAGATAGATAGATAGATAGATAGATAAATAGATAAATAGATAGATAGATAGATAAATAGATAGATAGATAGATAGATAGATAGATAGATAGATAGATAGATAGATAGATAAATAGATAAATAGATAGATAGATAGATAGATAGATAGATAAATAGATAAATAGATAGATAGATAGATAAATAGATAGATAGATAGATAGATAGATAGATAGATAGATAAATAGATAGATAGATAGATAAATAGATAGATAGATAGATAGATAGATAGATAGATAGATAGATAGATAGATAAATAGATAAATAGATAGATAGATAGATAGATAGATAAATAGATAGATAGATAGATAGATAGATAAATAGATAAATAGATAGATAGATAGATAGATAGATAGATAGATAAATAGATAAATAGATAAATAGATAAATAGATAAATAGATAGATAGATAGATAGATAAATAGATAGATAGATAGATAAATAGATAGATAGATAGATAGATAAATAGATAAATAGATAGATAGATAGATAAATAGATAGATAGATAGATAGATAGATAGATAGATAGATAGATAGATAGATAGATAGATAAATAGATAAATAGATAGATAGATAGATAGATAGATAAATAGATAGATAGATAGATAGATAGATAAATAGATAAATAGATAGATAGATAGATAAATAGATAAATAGATAGATAGATAGATAGATAGATAAATAGATAAATAGATAAATAGATAAATAGATAAATAGATAGATAGATAGATAGATAAATAGATAAATAGATAGATAGATAGATAGATAGATAAATAGATAGATAGATAGATAGATAGATAGATAGATAGATAGATAGATAGATAGATAGATAAATAGATAAATAGATAGATAGATAGATAAATAGATAAATAGATAGATAGATAGATAGATAGATAGATAAATAGATAAATAGATAGATAGATAGATAAATAGATAAATAGATAGATAGATAGATAGATAGATAAATAGATAAATAGATAGATAGATAGATAGATAGATAAATAGATAAATAGATAGTTAGATAGCGACTCAAGTCAAACTCAAAGAAAAATCAAAATCTTTATTAGTTAAACATGGAAAAAGGTCGTTACAAAATATGAAATGTATGAAACAGCAAAAATATATATATGTCTGAAATATTATGTGTTTGTTTGTGTGTGTGTGTGTGTGTGTGTGTGTGTGTGTGTGTGTGTGTTTAACGGTTACATTTAAAAGTCAAAAATACAGGTGATGATGTCATCCTTAGCAGGGTCACCCTTAGCAGGGTCCATCCGCCACGATCAAAATGTCAGCATTTCTCTCCCTGAAAACAGACAATCAGTGATTAATAATCAATATTATATAATTGTTCCCTAAAAGAACTAATGAATTATTAATCATTCAGAATACATTTCCAGAGTAGATGTCCAGTAGATATCACACTTTAGCACCAGTCTCTCACACCAAAACAAAACTGTCCTGTTGTCCCTTCAATGCACTGCTGCTTCTTTCGTTGGTGGATAGAGTAGATGACATGCGGGAAAGGAGCCACTGGCCGGACTCAAACCCTGGCTGCCCGCTTGGAGGATTGGAGCCTCCATACATCTCTCGTATAGAATGTTAATGTAGGCCTACATATACATCTTTACTGACTACATATTGAACCCTCAGATGTGCATAAACTACACTTTATGAACTGTTTTTTCTAATGCAATGATGTAAAAAATATATCTGTCTTATCGGTATCAGCCCTCAGGAGCAGGTAACTATTGGTGCAATACAATTCATATTGTGCATCCCGAAAAATATTTGACAAACATTGTTTGTGGATTAACATCAGTCAACAGAAGTTATTTTCAGCTGTTAGTCTATTCAGAGACAATTTGAGAGGAAACACTGGAACAAACATTGCATTGAGAAAAATACTTTTCATTCATTTGTCACATTAAGTTAAAGAATCACTTCTGATACAATTCTTTGGTTAGTTCGGACATCAAGTTCTACCAGCTGAGATGAACCTTCAGCTCCTTGGTAACCAAACATTGAGACAAATGTTGTTACAAACTAACTAGTTCACATGTAGGGTTTAGTGTTGACTTTACACCATAAACTAAGACTTACAGGACACTGAGCTGGTTTCATTTTGAACATCAGTTTAGATTAGTCTATTTTGATTGATCACAGTTATACCCCAACATACCCTCATCTGATAGTGATCAATAGGTCGCAGAGTTCCACAGTTTAAACATTTAAAATACAAAAAGTATTAATTTGAACTGATAAATGGGTCAGACTATTGACACATCAGCACTCACAGTCTTTGGACACACAGAGAACACTCGTTTGGATATGTGACGCCGTCGCTGCCGCACACCGGAGAGTAGTTCAGGGGACATGCCTGAGCCACGCTCATCCCCACACAGGAAGGCTGAAACAACAATAATATGTCAAACAACAACAACAACCAACAATACAGTAAGATAGGACAAGCAACACAACAAAAAACAACAACACAAGATCAACAATAACATAAAAAAGCAACAAACAAAATTAAACAAACAAACAAAAGAACAACAATAAACACCAGAATACAACAAAAGAAAAAAACAGAAGACGATACCGAACCAAACGACAACAATGCAATGACAAAAAGATGGAGTAGATGTTACATCAGTTCTCCGATGTTTAAATAATGAATATTTATGAAGTACAGATTGTGTTAGAGACCATATAGGTCCAGCTTCTACGGATATTTCATATTTCATGACCTATACATTTAATTTGAGGAATTATTGACTGAAAATTGTCCTCTTTTTAAATTACTAAAATACTTAAACATTGCTTAACTAGTTGTAAAGAAGTGACTTAAACATTAAACATGTTCATCTTGTAAAATAGAGTTTGTTGGATGTTTTTGTTTCTTACCCTCCTGTAGACTCTGGATTTATCCTCAGCATCTGACGAAAAACAGAAACGTTGAGTCAGTGACTCCTGAATGTGTTCACAGGTTATGACGACCCAACAACAACAGCCAAATAAATCACTGTACTGTTTATGAATAATTTGAGACACTGCTTGTACACCTGACACCTTTTATACACCTCACACTCTGTTTCCCCAGTCTTACCTGCATAGAGGAAAACAGCGGCACAGACGAGAAGGAGAGTCTTGACAAACATCTTGGATGAAAACTCTGAGTCAGATGAAGCCAAAAAGAAAGGCAGAATGTATTAGAGAGGAGGCTAAGCCTGTATATTTTCTAGCGTCTGATGTGTCTGTTTGCAGCTCCGCTAAATGTGTGAAGTTTTTGTAGCTGTGTTGTTGTCGTTGGCCCTGGGTTGTCACAAGGATGACGGGCTCTGTGTTATTGTCTGGGAAAATGTGACCTGATGTTGTTGTGACGGCAGCTGCTCTCTTTTGTCAGGACCTTAATCTGGGGATCAACATTCTGCAGCCCTGAAATATCGCTGACTCGGCCAACAGGAAGAGGAGTCACCCAGACTGAAAAACAACTTCTGAAAAGATAAACAAGATACACAAGATAGAACATGCAACACTGCTGCTTGATAAGAAATGAATACAGATTGATCAACGTAAACTTGATTTAATGAAACTCAACATTTTTTACATATAAAAATCTGAAAACACTCACAAGACACAAGACGAGACAAAATGTCAATAAAAAGTGTTAGAATTGAGGTTTAGATTAACATTTAAATATGTGTATGTAATTTATTTTTGCTTGTGTAACATTGTAGCACTTACTACTATCCCGGGTTTGTTTGTGTTAGCAATAAGTTTCAGTTCACATCAAAGCATAAATTAACTTAAAGCAAACACACAGTCTTGACTTAGTTCAGTCATTTTTATTTAGTTTCTGGAACTGCAAAATATCATTGATTGTCTTATCCATACTTACCTGTAGAGAGAAGCAAAGTAGGGAAACATTATATGCTGGTTATAACAGACTTTGCTACCAAGTATCCAGAAGTCTTTCCACTAAAATCCATCCATGCTTTCTGTTTGGTACAGTTCTTTTCAAGGGTGGGCTTCCCTTAAATATTAACTGATCAGGGAACTAACTTTGTCTACTCTGCTGAAACAGGTGTACCACTTACTGGGTATCAGGAGCCTCAGGACTACACCATATGTTCCTCAAACATAACTCTGTTAGGATGAGCTAACAGAGTGCTTTAACCAGACCCTGAAACAGATGCTCTGGAAGTTGGTAAACAACACTGGTACAGACTGGGATCAATGGCTGCCCTACCTCCTTTTTTGCATACAGGGAAGTACCCCAATCCTCCACTAGTTTCTCTCCTTTTGAACTTTTGTATAGACATGAAGTTTGGGGGTCGTTGGCACTGTTGAGAGAGATCTGGGAGGGGGCAAGGGGAGGGTGGGATCTGTTAATGTTGTATCCTATGTCATCCAAATGAGAGAGCGACTGGAGAAAATGGGTGAGCTGGCCCAATCCCTCGTGGCGGACGCCCAGCATCAACAGAAGTCCTGGTACGACAAGCCAGCCAGGCAGAGAGTCTTCGACCCTGGACAGAAAGTGCTGGTGCTAACAAACTGTTGGCTAAATGGCAAGGACCGTTCAAAATCCTAAAGAAACTTGGGCCAACCAGGTACCAGGTATCAACACCAAGGCCCTCACACTTCAGTAGGGTACTTCACATAAATCTCTTAAAAGAGTACAAACAACAAATATTGTTGAACATGACATTGTTGTTAGAGAAGGTGCTTCTGTGAGAAGATTAACTTACAGGATCCCTGAGCGCCTGCTGGCCTCACTGAGGAGGGAGGTTAACCTGATGCCTTCCCTGGGGATCATCGAGACTTCAAAGAGCTAGTGGTGTAACCCAATGGTGCTTGTACCAAAGAAGGATGGAAGCCTAAGGTTCTGCATTGATTTCAGGTACCTGAATTTAATTTCTCTCTTTGATTCCTATCCAACACCAATAATGTATGAACTGCTTGAAAGGCATAATACCAGACCACAATAAATCTCTACAAGGGTTATTGGCAGATTCCTCTCACGAATCGGTCACAGGAGCTGACAGCCTTCAGGACACCATGGGGCCCTTTGCATTTCACAGTAATACCATTTGAGTTTCACAGCGCTCCAGCAACTTTCCAGAGACTCATGGACCAGGTAATTTGTTATTTCTCTAATTTTGCTGCAGCATATCTAGATGACATTGTCATTTACAGTAACACGTGGGAGGAACACCTGCAAGCTGTCTTGGATCGCCTTCATTCTGCCTGGCTGACAGTCATCCTATCGAAGTACCTAGGCCACATCATCAGTGGGGGTTGTATGCCCTCAGGTCAACAAAACTCAGGCCATAGAGTCCTGTCCCCTGCCACAAACAAAGAAGCAGCTCCGATCTTTTTTGGGCTCTCAGGCTTCTATCACCGCTTCATACCCAATTTCTCCAACAGGGCAGCTCTTCTCACAGACTTGACTAGATCCCGGAGTCCCAATCAGATCCAGTGGACAGAGGCGGCAGTGGCAGCTTTCAGTGATATCCAGCAATCACTAAGTAAGTGACCTCTTCTGTACAGCCCAAACTTTGACAAACATTTTCTTCTGCAAACTGATGCTTCTGACAGGGCTTTGGGAGCTGTGTTACTCCAGGGACTTCAGGATGATCGGCATCCAGTCGCCTACATCAGCCAGAAACTGTTCACCAGAGAGGTTCGATATTTGACGGTGGAGAAGGAGGCAAATGGGCCCTTGATTCCTTCTGGTACTACCTTCTTGCTCAAGAGTTCAACATGAAACATGAATCTGTGTTGACATTGGAGGTTAAAAACATCATGAACTCTGTTTTAGTGAAAATTCCACTGAATCACTGGGAATCCATTTTACACTGTATCATCTAAATGTTGATTTTTCTTGGAGATGGATCACAAGGCCCGTTTGGTTTGTAAACTTGGTTTTCTATTTTTGGGTAAAATAAAAACCTACCTTTTCTTTAAACTTACTCCTGTGTCTCGTGCCTTACTGCTTAGTCCCTAACAGTCCCCCCCACAAGAGAATCCTTCTCACCAGGATAAGAGTGTTTATAAGACACACTACAGGTGAAGGCCTGTGTCTGGCCATGAAATGTTTGTCCGATTTTACCTATGGCTTTGATGTCACCAGTTGTAATAATCCCAATGGATTTCATTACTTACATAAAGATGTGGGTTCTTCTTTTTTAGGCTTTGGTAGACAAACCATCCAGTGGTGACGAGAAGACGTACCACTAACTCCTCACACAGAAATACGAGGGAAAATACGTACACCCATTTTTCTGCCGTACGTACGTTTGATAAGTGAGGGCCAATATGTGTTATGTTTTTGTCAACAGGGAAATAAAATGCAGAACCTTATTCTTCCATCCTTCTTTGGTATGAGCATCACTGGGTTACACCACTCGATGATCCCCAGGGACAGCATCAGGTCATCCTCCCTCCTCAGCAGTGTTGGGCAAGTTACTTTAAAAAAGTAATTAGTTACAGTTACTAGTTACTTCTCCCAAAAAGTAACTAAAGTAGTTACTGAGTAACAAATTATAAAAGTAACTAGTTACTTTGGAAAGTAACTATTTCGTTACTTTCAAGTAAATTTTTAAATGCTCAAATGTGTCAAAGAATTTGGACCCCACCTCCACCCCTCTTTAACAGAACTTAAAATACATGTGCATGTTCAATTATTTATGATAAATCTGAATATTATAATGAAATGGACACTTAATACAATCAATAATTAACAGAAACAGTGTACACAAATCTAAACTATTTTAATGTTGCTGTGGGACAAAGTGAGACTAGCCTCCAATCAAATGTCATGTATTATTGTAGATATTATAATTACTATGTTTATATAGTGGATCCGTAAAAATGACATAATAGATGTTTTGTCTGCTGTGGTAGACAAATATTCTAATTTCTCAAATGTCTGTTTGAGCTCGACATTCATTTGAGCATGTTGGGCGTCTATATAGTTTGCGAACGTCTTTCTACATGGCAGGCCGACCCCTGCTCTGACCGGTATTTTGGCAACTAGTGCTCTGAATGACTCCGACTCAACCATCGATATTGGCAGCATATCCTCCACAACATACCTGGCTACCAGTTTGTTTAGCTCGGCCTGAGACAAAACGTGTGGTGGTGGTGGGGCCGTAAAATCAAGCTTCGGTTGCTTAGGTTTTGTGGCACTGTCTCCTTCTCCTTCGGAGGTCTTTTTGGCCACTAATTTCGTGGAAGCATGTAGCGTTGAAAGATGTTTCAATAAGTTTGAATTGCTCGACACCGACGTGGAGAGCATAGACTGTAGGCTTTTGACTCCAGGGCATAATGTGCATTTCACGATTACACTCGTTCCTTTCATTTCTTGGAAGGAAAAGTAATGGCTATACTTCCACTTAAAGAAGGCTACTGTTGGATTATTTGGGCTCGCCATTCCTGTTTCTCGTTGACTCATTTGTGTTGTTGTGTGTTCGACTATGCATGCTTTCAAATTTGTGTAAACAACACCCGCCCAACACTACCTCTGATTGGCTCACCATGAAATTTTTACTCTACCTCAGCCAATCGTCATCATTTATGCGGTTGTCTCGTGTCCGCACTCACCAAAGAGGAAGAACAGTAAGAAATATCTTTGCTGCTCGGCTTAGAGATCTAGTTGGTCTGATGAAAAACAGCTTCAGTCATAGTAGCGCACCGCATTTTTTGGCAGTAACGGTAACAGCGTTATAATGATGGGAAGAGTAATCAATTAGATTACTCGTTACTGAAAAAAGTAACGCCGTTAGTAACGCCATTATTTATAACGTCGTTATTCCCATCACTGCTCCTCAGTGAGGCCAACAGGCCCTCGGGATCCTGTTAGTTATTAGTTCTCACAGAAGAACCTTTTCTAACAACAATGTGATGTTCAACAATATTTATTCTCCCAGGATTCACCTGGAAAACTTCTGAATTACAGATAGATCTCACCTGCAGCCTTTGGCCATCAGAGGTTACTGAGATCATGGTCCACCAGGTCACTAGAATAAGGAAAGTATTGTTCATCCACTGTTCATCCAGCACACTTCTTATTAGCATCACTTCTGTTTTTCTTTCAAGTCACTGCACCCACTCTTTTTCAAGGTGGGTTTGACAGAGCTCGCCATTTGTAAGTTAATACGAGTCACTTTTCAAAGTTGGAAACCTTTCATGTAGTTGAGGTGACATAAACGTATAATATTGAGTTAACACAACATTTTCGTGGACTTGAAGTAAAACTAACTTGGAATTGTACGTTATTATGACTTTTTGTTTTTACAGTGAGTTTTGGTTATATACCTGCCAGCCATATATTCCTGCTTAGCCCAGCATCTGTGCTGAGAACATGCGTGTTAGTTTAAAT